GCCTGGCACCTCCTTATGGTGGTGGGATTAGCATCTGGGCACAGGAGAGGTCCGCAGCCCCAGCCTCTGCTCCTGCCTGTGGGGGTGAGGGGAAGCCATGGCTCAACAGCTGGGCAGCACTACCTAATGATTCAGCTGCACCTGTTGCCCCCTGGCTATGGCTCACTCCCCACCAGCAGCCTGGGACCTGCACAGCGCCAGGCGCACAATGAAGAGGTAAAGGGCTGGGGCCGTTCCTGCCAGAGGTCACTGAACTACACATGGCCTCTCAGTTAACCTGTATATCAGTTAAACGGTTTCACTAGCTTTATGCGGGTTCTGTATGTGTCAATTTGCTCTTGTGCAATGACCCTCTTAATACCAAAAATTGATTATATACAAGGTAAATTCACTTTTATGCAATTGGTGTGGTGGAAGCCCGCAATCAGCTGCTTTGTGCGATGCATTGTGGGAGTGACACGCACCAAAATATAGTCTCCTGTGTAGATCTGTGCTCCTCGCTTGTTGTCTGCAACATGTGTTTCTATAGTTGCCATCCCCACGTTTACCACTGCCCTCTGCTTGTGCGTACTGTCTGCTGTTGGTGAGTACGAAAATTGTCTTGTAAAAGCGGTTGAAATGGGTCTGGGGATCAGTACAGCTGAGGTCTTGGAAAGTAGCCCTATTTGTTGCATTGTAAAGTAGGTTCCCTTTATGCAAATTCGAGTTATGCACCATTTTCCAGGAACACATGTACCGCATAAAGTGAGGGAAACCTGTAACTGGAAGAGGTTAAATGGATATTTACATCCCTACCTGCAGGGAGAGCCGGCAGGGCAGGCAGGGGGAGGGCAGAGGGATGCAGGTGATGCTGACAGGGCTAGAGGGTCTTGGCTTGGGAGTAAGGGGAAACAGCAGGAGCAGGACACTGGCATGTCAGGGCTGCTCAGCACCACAAAGCTGTGGGGGAGACAGAATGCAGGTCCACCTGCAGCTGGTAAGCAAAGGGGCAGGGAGAGCTCTGATTTTCCATTATAAAAATACCCCAAATCAAACGCCAAAATATATAGGTAGTTATAATTTATTTTATTATAACAATTGAGGCATCAGTAAACTTCCAAATTGCTTTAAATTTGTAAATATATCAATAAAACAGTGTGTTCAACTGATACATATGCATATAGTGGCGTTTCATTTTAATCATGGAAAAACGTGGATTTGGGGGGTTTTAATCAAAGAATTTTAAATTGTTTATCAGAGCAAACCAGGATCCCTGATAATCAGGTTCCAGGACAGTCTTCCAATCAGGAGAGGAGAGTAAAAAGCCTGCTTTTAAGAGGAAACTCAATGAATTTCTGAAAGGGATTTTATATAGTGCCTGCAAAAGTGATTCTGCACAGTCAACAAACTCTGCACAAGCCAACAGAGCTTGAAAACTTGAAGTAACACAACTTCGCAATATGTTCTGCTTTTTCCTCCTCTATCTGAAAAAGAATAATACTCACCATCGTACAAAATAAAATGAGAAAACTGTTTAACATCGTACCATTAAAAATCACAAAGCAATAAGGAAATGCTAAGAAAATGTTCCAGAGCCCATATGCATCATTTCTATTCTTGTTTTTCTTGTTAACATCAAATGCAATACTACTGTCTCATAAAATATATATCATAAAAATGTGCACGATGTGCTACCCAGCTTCATTATTGTTTTGCTATGGGAACCAGAACTTTTGCCACCAACCTTTCCATTTCATCCATATAGAAGAACAACTGTGTTGCTACATAATCCTCCAAAGAATCCTTTTGGCACAATGGGACTCTATGCAAGTGAATCCTGCTTTCCAGAGAGGCATCTGTTCAAATGATCAAACTAAAAATATCAGGACTTTTTGCTCCCCTATTTCAACACAAACCCTTACCTATATGTAGAAAACATATGGATGTGGGTTTCAGGACTTAGGACTTACTGCAGTGTCAAAATGACACAGTTAAAAATCACTATTCTATTTTGCATAAAAGTCCTAGCACTCAAAGCTTTTATTTTCTTAATTTTAAGCAAGCTTAGAAGTATGTATCTGTATAATTCTTAGCAAAATGAAGGCCTTTAGCTGGAAAACAGCTGAAGAGTTCTACATTAACTTTGAGAGACATTTCAAGTGCTTTATCCTAAACAGAACCTGAAAGTGAAGTTACAGCTTTACCTAATTAAATTTCTGGTTTATCTATAAACATTTTTTTTAAAACCTCTAAAACAGCCCTGCTAATTTCTGAAATACACTATTTAAAATTAAGACAATTCCAGACAAAAGGGGGGACAAGCAATTTACAACCTTCATCAGATACCTACCTACAAATACAACGCACATCTATAAAAGACTTCTACCTCACCCTCCAACTCCAAACTCTAGTTCTTCTTCATCACGCAGAACTGGGGCTTCAACCTGGTTATCACATACCTCAGGCAAAGGCCTTAACTCCTACACTACTACCTACTTTGCCTCACTTGCTTTATCCAGTATTCCACCATGAACCCAAGGTTTCTAACGGGCATTTCACCAAAGAAGTACAAATGTACAAAAAGCTTTGGTTTCAATTAAGCTGCATTTTCCAAGGGAACTAAATTCCAATCAGCTCTACTGGGGAGGGAGATATTCTCATATAGGCAAACTCTGTCCCATTTTTGGAGTACAACTTAAACAAAATCCTCTTGTTCCCCAATATACTGTATATAAAGTCCTGCTTTGACAGGTTTTCTTTTTTTTTTTTTTCTCTACTTTAAACCATATAAGTGGACTTGTAATTTTGGAAGAGCATGTAAGACGTTCTAAGATGATGAAAAAAACATCCCAGTCTAAGGAAAAATAAGGTAAACATGTGTCTTAGCCTCTGCCTATACTAAGCTGCTTTGCCATCAAAACCTCTGGACAGACAACTACCACAGAGAAATTGCCAGAGTATGTGCACATCTACAAAGTTTCAGGCAGCTCTGTATAACTCCACTTTATCACTTGTGCCAGCAGTTGTGTGAGGGAGCAGCAGCAGGTTTCCTTCAGTCAGAAATAGTGTTGCTCGGCCGCCACAGAGAAGGGGGTCTCCCACCACAGGAGTGCTGAGCTGTGTGGATGCGTGTACAATTTTGCTGTCAGAACTCAAATTCTGATGGCAAAACTATGTAGCGTACATGAGGGCTTGGAGATCTAGCCTGTACTGAACCCTGCCCTGAAGCACCTGCCTGGAACAAAGCCCTGATAGAAGGAAAAGAAGAGAAAGCAAGCAGGACTGCCCTGCCTGAGGGATCTTGGATCTAAATTCCAAACAACCGTGCTAAGGTGAAGGCTTACAGTGGCTTATCTACTTGTTTGCTAAATCCCAGAAAGATGATGGGTTCTGATCCTGTTTAGGGCACAGGTACTTTCAAGGAATGGGTACACTGTGCTTTACATTTCGAACAGGAAAGAAAGTTGCTTACCCCAAGACTCCTATAGACTCATTATTTACAGGAAAAGTACATGGTTAGAAGGGATTAAGACTAAAATCAGTAAAGAAAAAAATGCAAAGTACAAATTGTAAAAATTCTGTTTGTATCATCTATTACTGTGGTTCTGTGGGCAGCAATATATGTATTATATTATCTTGATACAGTGAATTGTATAGTCATATTATAATTTTGGTGGCATCTAAACTATAAATCAGTCAGTTTATCTAGCTACCAGTGTGAGGGGATCTAACCCTATACAGGTTCTCTTATTGATTACTGTCTTAAAGCATGTGGGTTATTATTAAGCGCGGGGAAGGGGGCTCTTTACTGTGTTCTATTTTCAGGGGCAGAGAAATATTATGTATCTTTATGGTTTACATTGCAGTTTTAGTACTGCCATTTTCCAAAGTTTTTATTTTGGAACTAGAGAACACTTAAGGTTCTCTAAGAAAACGTACTGCAACATCTATTATTCACATGTTCATTGTCACGGGCAAAATGGATCTCTTCCTAAACTGCTTTACTTCAAGTAACAGTAAATAATTTAAATATAATTATAAGAACATAAACAGTTTTTTTTAACCTGAAATTTTCTAAAACTGCACAATTACTACATTTGACATGTTACAGAAACCAAAAACGTTAAAGCAAAGATGGCAGACCTTATCTATTGTGTTTATGTTATTAGATAAGCAATATTAGAAGGGGAATGTTGCAGCCAATAAATTACTTCCCTGTGTATTCCAAAGTGGATGTTACTTGAACATTTCAAGACTGCTTTATATTGCTTCAGACTGAGCTAGATACCATATCATTCTATTAAAATAGCTCAGAACCTTTATAAAACAAATCATTAAGAACATGATGTTACCTGCTTGACTGACTTTGTTTTAAAGCAAAGTGAAACCCTACTACGGAGAATTTCTAAGGTAAGCTGTGACTTGCCACCTTGCCCCCAACAAATCATTTAGCTTTAATCAAGCATCTAGAGCAGAAGTATCAAACAGAGACCAGATCCAGCCACAAACCCTCTATCTGGCCTGCTGGGCTACCAGCAGGCATCATAAGTTGGGCGGTATGGCTTGCTGCAGAATTTGTGGCCATCTGGCCCCACTAGGTATGGATATCAGAGACAAGTTTCATTCGCTGCTGCTCCCACAGACTCGCTCCCCTTCCCACTGTCGCTACCAGACCCCTTCCCAATGCTAAACCCCTCCCCTCACTGCTGTGGCCACTTCAGCAGCCTTGACATCCCAGGCTGGGTCCAGGAGCTCCTGGATGTCTGGATCTGGCCCATGGCCCATATACCCAGGTGAGTCTAATGCCCCTAGTCTAGAACATGCAGGTGAATGACTAAGAACAGATGAGAAGAAAGCCACAAGCACTACAATATTATATATTAATATTTTTCAGCATAAGCTTACACTAAAGACAAATAAGACAAACATGTTTCAAATGCATATACCCAAAGAGACTCCTAAAGCCATAATTTGGCTCCCGAATAAATATGGCCAGATCTACAGAGGTACTAAGCACTCACAATTTTTATTGACCTTCTCAGGAGCTGCAAATTCTCAGCACCTGATAGGGGAAGGAAGGGAGAAAGGTGGCAACTGATAAATAGAAGTGGCATATTCTTTTATCCTAAGTGCCTAAGAATGAGTTCCATACTAATGTAACTCTATTAACTAATAACTAAAGACACTGGGTGCTTGCAAATGCAACCCCCCTTCCCCATCCCCCCCCAAAGAACAGCACTTTAAACTTGGCATGTTCCCACACTAAACCCTGCACATGACCAGAAGCAGCAGCACATTACTTCAAGCTGGCTTGCCCAACATCTGTAAAGATTGGGCACTTTAGTGGGGCTTTTTTGGCACTTTGATCTAACAGCCAATTGAATCAGCTTTAACTAAAAGTACCAAAGCCCCGCTGAAGCTCCTGATCTTTACAGATGCTACAGAGCTGGGTTGAAGTAACACACTGCTGCTTCTGGTAAAGCATGTTTTTTTTGTTTGTGGGATTTTTTTAAACGTATGCAAGCAGCCAGTGTGATGGGCAAAATGAGCAGTCAAGCAATCTAACTAGACATGTGTTGCCTTCACCCAGAGCTACCAGAGGATTTCCCTTCTTCTCAAAGACAGAAACCAGCACAGCAAGTAGACTGCTCAGCATCAGCCTTGAAGAATCATTTATTTCACCTTTTTAGCAAACCAAGGTATGTAATTGCACTGAATGCACAAAATAAAACATGAAAATACAACAGTTGTTCTCTATATACAGCGCAGTTGAGTTAATGCTGCTGCTTTAGCCTTTAAAAAGATAACAAAAAATCAAAAAGTACAAGAAGTTAACTTTATATGAGTACTATATTATAGATACCATATTATGGTTGTGGATTTTTTTGCACTTGCTACGTGTCAGTTATAGAAAAGTGGTCTTCACAACTATGAGAGTAAAAGGTTGAAAGAAGAGATGAGCCAAAATCAGGAAGGCAATGCATCATATAGGCAGATGAGGTTCTTTTGGTAAATCTGATATATTTTATTAGATGAACTCAAATAGCTGGACATTATATTTATTATTATTATATTAAATTATTATTATTAAATTATTTTTTCCAACTATTTGAGTTGATCTAATAAGTTACCAGATTTACCAAAACAACCTTGTCTGCCAGTGCCCTCAGACTAACATGGCTACAACCTATACCCTAATACAACATGTATACACTTAAATGGCTAGACTAAATTAGCAAAAGTTATTAAAAATAAGGACAAAAATGTAGGACATTGTTCTTAAAGAAATGAGTGACTGGAGTAACCAGATCTGTTGGCCATTTTCCTTCCTGAACATTACTGTATAACATCCACTTCAGTACCTATGACAAAGCAGATCAGCAGCAAATACCTGTGCATAGCTATTCTAAATCAAGTTGACTAGCTCAAAGTAATGCAAAACAAACCTTCCAGCCCTTTGTTCTGCTATAATATTCCTTTTGTTTTAATTGGAATATGAATGACAATACATTTAATAAATAAATGTGATACAGTCGAATAAAAACAGCAGTAACCAGGACAGATTTCTAAACTGGTACACAGAAAAGCCAAAATCCTGAGTCTAAACTGTATACAGCTGTAATTTTTCTGAATGTTGCAGAGTTCAATTCTCTTTCATCTGCTAAACAGCAACTAGAATTCCGCAGCAATCAGTGAATTTGGGGTATACGGAAATGTAAGCAAAAGTTCTGTCAAATATCTTCAGTATGTTTGCCACAGAAAAGACAGGATTCCATGACTAAAATGAAATTAGTGTTTTTGTTGACCTTATACCTCCTAGAGATACAGCACAGTAGGTCCAGCCCTAGGAAGAGGATGAGGCAACCCCTAATCCAAATTAGTGGGAGGGAAGGGCAGAGGGGGAGGAAAAAAATAATTGTTATTCTTATTCAGTGAGCTCTCCAACAAAGGCCTTGCCAAAGTGTTAACACATATTGTGCCTTTACTGAAAGAATTCTCAAGGGCACCTGGCACCAGGTTGAGGGACATCTTCTATTCCAGAGGAAAAATGGCCCTTTTTACACAGCATCGGTGAGACTGCACTTGAGACACCATCTCTAGCCACCTCAAAACCAGAAAAATGTTGAATGATGGGAGGATGAACCAAGACAAGCAACTGAAAGAGAGGTCAAATGAAGGCCTGATATTTGTGTAAAGACTACAAGCACAGGAGCAGATAGCTAACACAAATTCTAAGTAGATGGAAATAATTTCTTAGGAAATGCTTGTATTTTGCAAGAAAGAAAACTAGGGAGTAATGCACTAAAATGAGGCAAAGTAGTATTTAGCATGAATATCAGGAAAAAGCTCTTAGCAATAAAGTCCATTATAAGTTTGAAACAATTGATCCAAGAAAATAATGAAATTATTCCAATAACTTAAAAGTGACCAAATTGCTAGAGAACACATAGGAAGAAAAAAACCTTCTGGGATATTAAGAAGATATACTAGGACTGCATTTCTTTAACGTCAGCTTTATAGTTATTTCAACATCAAAACTATATCTTAACTTGTTCATTTTGTAAAACACTTCAGAAAGGCAAAATCAAATCAATGTCCTTCCTAATATTCCAATGCTTCATTCTCAACGTGGTTCATTTCATTAACAATCAGCAAGAGTTCAATGAAGCACAGTTGAGAACGACGAGTTTGTTCTCTCTCACCTGTCATCTACGCAGAAACTTAAAGCTTAAAAACACTATGCACGCAGTATCCAATCTGTTGTTTCAAGAGCACGGCCTTGATCTCACACCAGAGTTTGCAAGGGTGTATCCTTGCAATCACTGGGAGAAAGTACTTACCAACTCTAGGCAAATTCTCTAAAAGAGTATAGATTTTCATAGATCCAAAGACTTAAGATATTTAAAACTTATAGGTACTAATTTAAGAAGCAAAAAACATCTGTCTGCATATTTTTGTCTATTATCTTACAAGCCAGACTTAGCACTCCCCTCCCACCTTCCTTCCCCCGCTTCATAGATTAGGCAAAATTTCGAATGTAGTCAGTTTTCCACCTGGATCTTCACCCACAACAAAAAGACAGACTACTACTACTGCATTTTTTCATTAATAATCTAAAAAAAATTACAAAATTACAAGAGACTGTGAAGTCTTTACAGTACTACTTTATATTCAATTTAGAGGATTAATTTATCAGTATCCTTTTAAGTTTCCGTAATAATGTAGGTTACTATGAGTTTCTGGGGTTTATCAAAATTAACCTATTAATGGTATTTTAAACGAGAAGAAAGTCAAACTTCTCCAATTTACTTAGTTAAGTGCTTTGGTTCAGACATTCAAAGTATTTCTAGAGAATATGAAACCAGTGATTAGCAGAACATGCTCTGTATCACTCTTTATCTGCTATAGATCAGAGGCATATGTTTTTGAGCAACTTAAAGCTGCCTTATTTAAATATGGGTAAACTTAATATTCCATTATAAGCACTAAAACAGACTTGTCGTCCCACTTGCAGTTTTATGATGCTCTCTAAAAAGTGACCATATGTAACCTGTCCTTTGGAAGTTACTTACACGACAAACCAAACTTCATTTTAGGAACCTTTGTTACTTGATGCTGTGGTAAATTTGTCAGTAAATTTATTGAGTTTTCTTAGTAGAAACAGTGCCCTTGATGAGCAAGACAAATATGCCAACCCTTAAAGTTATATATTCCCAGACATAAATACAGGTACTTAAATGGAGTGAAGCCTGAGATTAAATGTCAGTAATTTAATGGAAAGAAACAATACAGGGATGCTGCAATTACTCCAAGCAATGCAAATCCAGAATATTCAGAGTTCAGATTAAACCTAAAAGAAACCCAGGCACACACTGCTAGGGAAAGTACCCAAAGCATTTGAAATCTGCCCTGCTACTGCTATAAAATTCTGATCAATGCATTGTGGTGTTTACAGCCCTAAATTCCATTTAAAACTAATTTTTAGTTTACCTCTGCCACAAATGTCCCCTCCTTATGGCATTACACATGCTTTAATTCCTAGGGCACTGCCTCAGGCCCACTGCATACCAAGAAAGTGTCAATGGCAGAAATGATACAGATAACAGTGAATTAGGGCTTAACCTCCCTCTTCAGCATACATCTTTCTGCAACCCAACACTGTGGGAGCCAAGGAGACAGAAGGGCAGGGGTAGGAATGGCTTCCCCAGTGGTGCTGTCAAAATATGTAACACAGTCATGGCAGCTATGAGACTTCTTTCAAGTCCTACACCAGAGTGAGACCACAGAACTATTAAGAAACAATGACAACAAAAACAAAATCATCTGGCAATGAGAACTCTTCCTAATACATAAGTCTCTCATATCACTGTCTTATGGCAGCAAGCAGTATCATGGCACATCAATTACACAATAGGTGAATGCTTGAGTTTTGAGTATTGTAGTATTGAGTCATGGCACCTGGTTAAGTGACCCAAACTATTCCACTGGCTCATCTGTAATCTGTTATTACTGATTAGAAAAAGCCTAATTTGCTTACAAGTTAACTCATATATAGCCTGTGTTTAAAATTTCAGTGAGTTATAGACTCTTCAAACTTTCCCTATAGTTCCACTGAGATCATTTAAAATAAAAAATAAAAAGCAGGCACTAAAGAATATGTCTTCACAGCAGATGCAGAGCTCTATAGATACCTGACCTGTCTACAACCATATTCATGCAACACCCCACCTCTGCTAATATATCCCAGTTCTCAGAAAACAAGCTAGCTCAGCTGTGTCTACATGGTTGTGTACTGTGTTGCATCAGTGTATCCACTGCATCACTGTATCCAGCACCAGGTATCAGTATATCATTTAAAATTTAGCTTTATCTATCAATCTGTTAGTCTGAGCCTCAGGAAAATCACTGAAGTTGAACTGTGTTTTAAGTGAAAGCTCACTTCAGCTCAGCTACCTACCCTCCCTTTCAGAATTAGCTTATGAAATATGTAATAGGACATGAGAAACTGATGTTTAACATCAGTAAGTTAAAAAAAAAAGAAAGAAAAACAAGTATAATCATTTTACAAAAGCACATATGTTGAAAGATTTACAAAACAAAAGGCAATGGGTTTAATGCACAACCTGTCTTTGATGTGTTGTATCAAAAAAAAATGAAACTTTTTTTTTTTTAGAGCAATTCATAGAATCTTAGAAAATTAGGGTTGGCAGGGACCTACGGAGGTCATCCAGTCCAATCCCCTGGTCAAAGCAGGACCAGCCTCATCTAGCTCACCCCAGCCAAGGCTTTGTCTCCCAGAGTCTTAAAAACCACCAGGGAAGGAGATTCCACCACCTCTCTGGATAACCTGTTCCCATACTACCCTCCTATCAAACCTCAATTCCCCTTGCTGCAACTTGTGATCAACTTGAGACCAACTGCTCTAGGATAAAAGTTTACCAAAAATGACTCCTGTCTCAGACTTGCCAACCATATTTCAGAAAACCAAAGGCTCCCAGCCAAGTCAAACGCTGTATCTCACTGCTCTGGTGTCACTACCATACCATCTATGCAACTTTATGCAACTTCAGGATGTGTTTATCAGTGTGAACTAAAGCAGCGTTTCTCAACCCATGGGTTGTGACCCAAAAGTGGATCACAATATATGAAAGGATCATGAACAAACTTTAAAAATGGACTCTCCTTTAAAGGTGAAAAATGTGGGAAACCGTAGCTTTTCCCTTGCAAGGCGCTGCTTGGGGCCCCCCCACACCCACGCCCTACCCATTGGTGGGGGCACGGGGCAACAGGTTGGGAGTCAGGGGCAGCAGCAGCAGGGTCAGGGGGCTGTTTTCTACTTAAACTGTTTATTAGGTCAGGAGGCAGCAGCCATCAATGTTTACAAATGGGTCCTGGTACAAAAAAGGTTGACACCCACTGAACTAAGGAGTAGTACTACCAGTCTGTCCTCCAGAAGATGCCCTATATCAGTCCTGCTATGGGGAATAACTCTCTGAGGAGGAGGTAGACTTGGCAGTGGGTATTTCCATTTTGTTTTTCATAACCAAGGAGGGAGTGAGCAGGGATGGAGTTGGTGTGTCTGGATCCGAGCGCTGGAGCAGAGAGAGGGGTCAAGGCCTGCTGCTGCCAGAAAGGATTTAAAGCAGTGGTTCTCAACCTTTTTTGTACCAGGACCCATTTGTAAACAACAATGGCCAGTCCCAACCCAGTGCCCCTCACCCCTGCCCCCGTGTATATGGCGTGGTGGGTGTGTGTGGGGCACGGGGGTCCCCCAAGCAGCCCCTGGCAGGCTGGAGCTCTGCCAGTCTGCAAGGGAAAAGCAGCAGTTTCCCTCCTTTAAAGCAGAGCCCATCTTTAAAGTTTGTTGATCCATCTTTAAAGTTTGTTTACACCCCTTTCCTATACCTTTGCCACCCACTTGGGGGTGGGGACCCATGGGTTGAGAAGCGCTGGGGGCCTTGCCCTGTCGGTGGGTGGAGAGCAGGGCCACACACGTCCAGCCCCCCCCCGCCCATGGGTGGGGGGGGAAGGAGGCTGCCCTCGTGGTCATTTTCTCTGGCAGGTTTCCCTCCACCTGCACGTCCAGCCCGCCACCCCTGCCCCCCGCGTTGGTACTGTCCCTGGGACAGCAGGGAGGTGCCCCCGGGGCGGGGCGGGGCGGGACGGGGCTCCCCAGCACC